TTTTGGAAAAGTACTTCTACTAAGGTCTGGAGCCAAAAAAATATTTGCCATATTAAAAAATTTACTTGCATAAAAGTTGCACACAGGTGTTGGCTTGAAAACGTAATTGCCCGAATTTGCCTATCTCATTCTAAAAAAAATGGCGGCTATTTCTGCGCCATGGGGTGAAGAGGGACACCCCCCTCCCGGGGTAATTAGGGACAACCCCCAGGGTAATTAGGGACAACCCCCGGGGTAATTAGGGACAACCCCTAAAACACATTTACAGCAGATCTTCTGTTAGCAAAGGCCACAGTTAAGATAAATATGTGTTAATCAACAAGGATTTTTGCTTAAATTTTAAATTTAAGTGAAAATTTAAATTTAAATAAAATCTTCTTGGGGAGCAGAACAGCCTGGATGTTAGGCAGAACTCCTAACATCCAGGTCACTCAATGCAATGGTCATTCCCTAAAGAAGCTTGTTGAGCTCCTCATCGTTACGTTACATCTAAAAGGAAGAGGAGGACTTTGGAGTAGTGCTGGTAATAGGAAGGTGGAGTAGTGCTCTGCACACTTCAAATGTTTAAAATTGTGTTTTATTTCAAGTGTCCCTTTTTACCCCATTTCCTGATAAATTCAGGAGCCTTTTATATTGCATCTAGCACCTTACAAATAGCATATGGAAATTTTTGAAGATGCCATTTGATAGCCCTTGCAAAGAGCTATAAAATGAGCCTAAACATGTTTGTGAAATGTTTCATGGTTAGAAGTTATTAACAAAAAAGTCTCAAAACCATCCCTTTTTACCCCGTTTGATGGTAGTCTGCAGCTTCTAGCTCTGAAGGCTGAGGCTGAGTAAAGGTAATGTATGGTGAAGCTGTGCATTGACTCTATGAGTTATTTATGAGTAAAATTAGTGGCCCATGCCGGATGCCCTACGGCTGCACTCTCGATTTTGTGGTTGATTAGGCTCAGTGCTGAATTTAACCCTTATGACTGTATATGTCACAGAGATTAGCTTGAAAAAATGTATGTGACCTAAATATCACCTTTAGCTCCTAAAGTAAGGAATATATATACAAAGTTTTACCAATCTGCTTTCATTAGTTTACAAAATAATTTTTGCTCACTGTATGGGTAAAATCATGGAGAGCAGGCACTAGTCCGCCAACATAATTGTTTGATAAAGTTAACTATCTTGTTCTTTTGTTTTGTTAGCTTCTTGACAAGTAGACAGCAAAACTTATGCATAGATATTAGGACACAACTGGTTCTTCAAATTTAACTCAATGAAAGTTAATGTATCCAAACAAGAAACAACCGTACATTATTTATTTTACGCTGAAGTTTATTCTCAATGTTTTATATAAAAGCTGGTTTTAAAGGCAGGAATGTACTAATATGATTATACAAAGTTTTTATTTTCATTCTCCATTGTACTTTGATAAATAATCTATATACTACAGGTTATATATGTTATAATATAACTGATTAAACTGAGTATATATATTCAGTTATTCTATAACTATATTCAGCTCTAGTATATGAATATGAACTCCTGTCCAAATTAAGCCTAAGCCAAGAGAGAAAGGAACAAAGAAGAAATCATATATTCTAGAAGGTAGATGGGCATAGCCGGTAAAGCAGTACGCAATATACATGCATAATGAAATCAGTGTGAAATTCTAGGTGGGTATTAAATTAATCAGTACACATAGCTTATTTGAAAGCAGGACCTGAAAGCTTGGAAAATCCAGGAACTTTTCATTTCCAGTCTACCATATACATATCCATTGATGATATCCCTTTCCAACAGTGATTGGTTGATGGGATTGTGATGTCATCCTTTCCAGCTGTGATTGGTTGTGCCCAAGAATGGTATGTGTACTGATTAACTTGATACTTGAACTAACTTAACTTAATCATCACTAACAAAAGGCCCAGAAAATTAAAAAAAAAATACATTAAATAAATGAAAAATAAATATATCAATCAAACAACTAAACAATTCTACAACAAATCTGAGGTACTACACAACTGAAACAGTTTGTCCACTCTTGATCCCCCTTTTCCTTTATATTCAGTCACCTGGCAGAGAGCTGCATGTAAGGAAACTTTCCAGCTTGGGTGGAAAGTTTTTCATAGGTAAACTTCCATTCCTAGAAGTTCAGACTGCATGCAATGCAGGTCACATGCGGCATGCCATAGAATAGGTTTTAGTGTCACCAATGTCACAATATAATGAGAATTGATCAATTGAATCATGTGGCTGTGAAATGTGTACAATGTGAATTTTTCTGTCGGTTCATTTTAAACTTCAGATAGTCTTCTTTAGTAAATCTGATCATCTGGATCATATCCTTTTAATTAAATAATAGACTAAAATTAGATTATTAGACACCAGATCACACATACTGATATAGCAGTGTGCTGTACTCACTGAACTACTGAAGTTATAAATTATTGAGAAAAAGAATATCAAGACTATTGAGATGTGAGAGTTGAGACATTAACTCATATATTTAATTCGAATCATTCACAGTTCACTTGGGTGAAATTGCTTAAATAATAGTATCACTTTTTTATTGATTAGATGCATCTTAGTTTTGCATTCCTTACTTCCTGTTGCTTATGTTAGGTATGTAATGAGGGTAATGTCTTCTAAATCATTCATATCAAATTAATTATCCATATTCCATATGACCACACCGCCATAGTGGCAAAGCAGAGATTTCTTAAGATTTTAGAATAATTTTTTTTTTTGTGCTATTAGTAGATCAGTGTCCAGTAAAGTACCATGGATACTTGCATTATCATATAGATTTTGAATGAAATTTATAACAATATTAGGCAATTCAAAATAAGCCTAATAAATCTCTTGTTTGCCACTAATCATGCTGCATATGATAGAAATTGTAGCAGAGCTGCACTGTGCAGTTCTTCAGCATTTAATTCATCATTGAATGTATTTGTTAACTCTTCCATAGGCTAGAATTTAAATATCCAAAAATTAAAATTCCAGAAAACCTTGTTTAAGAAAGTAAGAAGTGTTATACAAAATATTTATATGTATATATTTTTAAAATTTTCCACACTGGAGTTTTAAATCACACTTGAATATATTAAATGCGGTCACTACCCAAAATATTTTTTTTATTATTAAACTTGAGTTTATGTTTATGAAAAATTAGTAATATAAAATTTTAATTCAATCAAGTTGCCTTAAATATTAAATACATATTGATACTTCATCATTTGAAAAATGAAAAAAGAGCATGAATTTCGTTGTCCAAGTTGAAACTGTCATTTAAATGCTCATATTTCAATTTTTCAGCATGGCAGGTGGTGATGCCATGCGTGAGTTGATGGTCAGATAATTAGTGATTGACTGAGGTATAATAAGGAAGCCTCAGACACAAACCAGAAACTGGCAATTTTATGTGACCATACATGATATCTTGCCTGTGTAAGGGTTAAATCAAAATTAAATATTATATCATTGTTATATAACACATTATTTCCATTTACAATTTGTGAAATTTTTCCTCAGGTCAACTTTCTTCTTCGAAAGCTCTACATAATGGCCATCCCTACTCATCATCCGATAATTAAGTTTGCCTTTAAAAACGTTGAATCTGTAGAGAATGGTTCATTGCAGGCTAAATGTAATTTTTGTAAATTTGGTGGGGGAATTGTAAAGTTCAGTACAAAAAGTTACAGTAATTTGACTAAACACCTAAAGCGTCACCACTTGAGTGCGTATAATGCTTATCTTGAAAAAAGAAAAAATTATTCTTCATTGGATGCTAGAGAGAAAAGCATGATGAAATCCTATTTCCCACCTTCTCACCCAATTGGCACAACACAATCCATTTTATCTCTTAGCACAACACAGAAAGTCACATCAGTTCCGTGCAGCACCTCTTCACTCCCAATGGGCACAACACAATCCATTTTGTCTCCTAGCACAACACAGAAAGTCACATCAGTTCCGTGCAGCACCTCTTCACTCCCAATGGGCACAACACAATTAATTTTGTCTCCTAGCACAACACAGGAAGGCACATCAGTTCCATGCAACACCTCTTCACTCCCAAAGGGCACAACACAATTCATTTTGTCTCCTAGCACAACACAGAAAGTCACATCAGTTCCGTGCAGCACCTCTTCACTCCCAATGGGCACGACACAATCCATTTTGTCTCCTATCTATGTTGCCCGGTGAACAATTCTATCTATGACATTCTATGCACAGTTTGGTGAGGACCAATGATGCACTAATTTTTTGTCAAGTGAAATTTTTTCACTGAGGGAGGTAAATCTAATCGAAATTCTTTGTTGTTAATTGATTTTTTTTGTTAACTGGAGCCATTGCTAACCAGGGCCCTACTGTAAATGTGTTTTCAGGGGGGTTCCTTATTACCCCGGGGAGGGGGGGTATCACTTATTACCCTGTTGTGCAGAAATGGCCGTCATTTTTTTCTGGAATGAGATGTGCTAATTCCGTCAATCACATTTTTAAGCCAACACCTGTGTGCCACTTTTATGTGGGTAAAATTTTTTAATACAGTATATATTTTTTTTTTGCTGCAGACCTTAGCAGAGGTACTTTTCCAAAATCTCACTTTTTGTACTTTTTTTCAAGGATTTTTTAGAGGTAGTAAATGTATGATTTCTAAACTTGCTTTATGCTACATAGCTAGGAAAAATGTTGAACTTTATTCCACTATTTTTTGCTTTGCAATATTTTAATTAGTTTAGCTGCTACAACATTTCTATGAAATGTTGAAAGCCTGTCCCTTATTACCCTGCCTGTCCCTTATTACCCTGCCCATCCCTTATTACCCATTTGATGGTAGCTATATCAATCAACAATTGGTAATCAATAATCAATTTATCAATTCTGATTAAATAATTGATTCTAATGAATAAATCATGATTCTAAATTTTCTATGATTTCTAAACATTTTCATCATTTCTAATTTTTCATGATTTCTAATCAATTTCATCACCTTCACACATTCCAGAACAACATAGTCATTCATCTGCATCCATGAATAGAGAAATGCAACCTGTCCTGATGTACAAGCCTGTATGCAAATCTTGTCATTCGCTTAAAGCTGCAGATATATTCTTCAAAGCTTCATTGAAGGTTGCACTTGATGAATGCAGGCACAAAACAAAAGATTGTTGCTGCAAAAGGAAGTTTGAGGAGCTTTGTGAAAGGACAGAGGAAGAAAAACAAATAATTTCACAAGACAATGCCAAAACCTTTGATGGTTCTAATTTCTTATCACAGTACAACAGTAAAAATGATCAAATTGTTTATTTTTGTAAAGTCTGCCTAAGCTGTGGATGTCTTAGCAAAGGTAAGCGTAAAATTGTAGAATCCTGGACCGAGGGAATAACCTTCACCACCACCAGGAACAAAAATATAGCCATGAAAATGCACCTGCAAAGTAAACAACACAAAGAAGCTTTGGAATTTGGCCAAGCCAATGATGGAACCCAACGAAAATTAGGATTCCCAACTAGAGAAGAACAGGAAAAAGCAACAAGAAACACTATGATTGCTGGAATCTTCAGGACTTCTCATTTATTACCATTCAGATTGTATACTGCCTTGTGTGCTTTTCTGTCCCTTATCAGCCCATCACACTTGAGCAATCCATTGGGCAACCGACATCAAATGCATACTGATATCTGCCATGTTCTCTCAGCAAATTATGAAGCCTGTGCTACCACCATGAAGAGATTTTTCAGCAGCACTTTTGCAGCAACAAACGGCAAGAGAAAAATCACTATCAGCTGTGATGAGGGCACTGCTCAAAAGGATGCATCTCGACAGGCCATTGTTGCAACCTATGTTAATGATGATGGAATGACCAAAGAAATTGTTTTAGGGGTTCCAATGATCAAGCAGGGAGATGCAATGGCTACTACTAATCATGTTAAAGAAAATATTTCTCTATTCCTTGACCCCACATCAGTTGCCTTTGTGTGCACAGATAGTGCAGCTGTATGCACAGGAAAGAAAACTGGTATGATTGAGATGCTTAAGACGTCAAGTGAATTTCAGACCTTAAATGGCCTCCCTGACTTCTGCCATGAAATGGAAAATTTATTGCACAACTCCATGCCTAAATGGGTTTCTGATACTTTATCAATCTGTAGAAGTGTTGCAGCATTTGTCAATGACCACATTATTGTAAAAAATATGATTCCTAGATACAAAAACATTTATCATGGATCAAGGTTCACTAAAATACCAGACCAGTGTCAGATGCATTTTGCGGAATACCTACACCTTCACTTGGACGCAATTTTGAAAAATTTGCCCATCATGATTAAAGCACTTCCTGCGCTGATAAATACCCAGACTTTCCAAAGTAATGAAGCAATAGACATACTGAAATTAATACTCAATGATTCCTTTGTAATTAAAGTCATGCTTATTAGAAGACTCTACAAGCTCATGTCTGAGAAAGAAAAAATAGCTCAAAACATTCACTTCGGACCATTTCAATACAAGCACCTAGTTGACAGCCTGGCATCAGAATTGCAGGACTTGAAGACGCCTTCTATTGATGTTGAAAGTTTTGTGAAGGATGGAAATGTTAGGTCATGTGCTGAAGCTTCCAATCATTCTGACCATGACTATATAAATTTGTGCCAGACAGCAGTGAAGCTCAACTTAGAAACAAGAGGAGAGCTTGAAGCTTCAAGGAAAGACATTGTGAGCAATTTGATGAATGACAATTCTAAATGGATTGACCAAATTTGTAATGTAGCTCCCAATTACTTGAAGATCCCTCAGCCCATTGCTCTTGCAACACAATTGTTTTCACTTCACCTTGAAAACAATTTGCAGGACAAATTAGCTGCTATCAAGCAACTGTTCAATTCTGTGAACATCCAATTTGTGTCTTGTGGAAGCAAGTGCAAGGGAGTTGATGAGTGTGGTTGTTTGATAAGTGATTATGAAAAATTCATGGCAATTTTCCAAACTGAATGGCATGCTGCACCCAACAACAGAGTTATCAGGTCTGGCACATCTATATCACAATCCTATACCCATGCCTTTGCTCATTACATTGCAGAAAACAATCAGAAAAATGTGTATCCAACCAACATCATTCGCTGCCTTGAAATCATCCAGCTCATGAAGCCTTCTCTTGGGGCCACAGAGAGAGTGATGTCACATGTGGCATCAATAATGAGCAGATCTGAATCCATGTATGACATTAAGAAAATAATAACTGAAGATTCTACCACCAGTGACAGTGTTGAGATGGAAGTATTTCTCAGATGCAACACAAATATAGTACAGCATGATGCTGACCTTGCAAAACAAATATTTCTGAGCAGACATGGTGAATCTCTAATGAAAAATAAAAAATCTAATACAATGAGTGATGCTGTTCATAACTACTTGTATGAACTTAGTGGAAAAATCAGCAATCAATATATAAATAAAAGAAAAAATGCATTTGATCAAAAACAGGAGGATTGCAAAAGAACAAAAATGTATTTTACTGGGCCAAATGTTCTAGAAAATTCTAAAGTTCCAGCATCATCAAATTCAATTGAGGTGGTTTCTTCTCAGTCAATAAATTACTCACCTGCAAATGTAACTATTTTACAACATGATGAAGTTGTACCTCCTTTATCAGCATCAGTAAATAAAGCAGGTAATGCCAGAAACATGATAGCATTTGACCAACCAAATGGGTGCAAAGAATTCCAGATGGGAGGCACCTCTCTAAATTTAGGGAATGAAACTGCAAATTTTAAGAAGAATAAAATGGAAGTTTATTGCATCTGCCAAACGAAGAACGATAAAGAAAGTCGAACTCAAATTAAATCTTCCAAATTTATTGGATGTTCCAGTGCTCAGAAATGTGAATCATACATTGAAAGAATGACTGAAAAAAATGTTGGAGGAGGAGACTGGTTCCATTTGAAGTGTTTGAAGATGAACAGAGTACCAAAGGGTCCCTGGTACTGTCAAAAATGCAATGAGAAAAATGCTGCCAACTTGAGACAAGACTTGACCAATTATAATACTCAAGAATGCCGCATGGTCCTGCAACAATGTGCTGAAGCTGCAGACGGGAGTCTCTGGTGTGCTGAGCAGAGCCTCCCTCAAGTGTCTGCTGTAGAAGTGAAGTCTGAAGGTAAGTCTTCAGGTAATTCTTCAGGTAATGCTTGAAATGAAAGAAGTTCTTGCTGTGTTTGTTTCTGTTCTTTCTGGGATTGGAGACTGAAATGCAAAATGTGTGAGGTTCAGATACTGGAATTCCATTGTATGAAAGTCTTCAGGTAATGCTTGAAATGAAAGAAGTTCTTGTCATGTTTGTTTCTGTTCTTTCTGGGATTGGAGACTGAAATGCAAAATGTGTGAGGTTCAGATGCTGGAATTCCATTGTATGAAAGTCTTCAGGTAATGCTTGAAATGAAAGAAGTTCTTGCCATGTTTGTGTCTGTTCTTTCTGGGATTGGAGACTGAAATGCAAAATGTGTGAGGTTCAGATGCTGGAATTCCATTGTATGAAATATTTCACAAGGGCAGCAGAAAATTCTCATGTTCTGTACATTAGGAAAATTCCTATCTCAGGAATATATTGATTTTTGTCATCATTATTCACAATTGTTAGAGTTTCTGGAATTTGAAAAATCATAAATAATTTTTTTTGCGCAGCATTAGAGGCTGATGCTCAATCTCCTGTTGACATCAAGGACGAGATTGAGGATGGGACTGAGGATGTAGATGTCAAGGAGGAACCCTTCTCCTATGATGATAAGGTATACATATACGGTACATGTTCTGTGCAATAATACAATTTCACTCATTAAATATATCATGGAACCCAAGGTTTACAGTTGATAAAAATTTAGGTTAAATAAGTTCATGAAAGCATATTTGTGTTTGTTCTCATACTAAGAGACAAGCTTTCATAGTTTACTTCTTTTACCATGAAGACATTGCTTGATAGGGAACTTCCTTGGGTTACTTTTATGTTTTATGATTCTCTTCATTTGTATTTATTGTATATTTTCTTCTGTATTCATGTAATGCTGGTCTAATTCAATTTTAAATTAACCAACATAATCACGTGTTGTTGCAGGCACTGGAGCCCCCCAGCCCCGGGTGGGGGGGCCTGCTGGTTCCTCCCCCATTGTGTGTGCCGTGCAAGAGGGAAGCTCCAATGGAGGCTCCTGATGGCCACGACGTCCCTTTGTGTTATTTGCTCATCACTGATGGAGCTGAGGGACAGGTGGGTGGTATTGCCATGGCTCCTGATGGCCACGACGTCCCTCTGTGTTATTTGCTCATCACTGATGGAGCTGAGGGACAGGTGGGTGGTATTGTCATTTACATGACACTTGGCGGGCCCTAAATTGTTAATTTCCATTGCCTTGAGTGAAACAAGCGTTAAGGCAAAGCATGAACTGATTCATTGAAATGCTTCAAAATAACAAGTGGCTTGAATCATCAATTAAAATTGATTGCAATTTTTAAAATTGGGGGAAATTGCTTGGTCAATTACCATATGCAAGTGATATAGTTTTAGATACCCAGCTTTGTTATCATATTCTTATTGCAAGTATATGAATTTCATTAGCTGGGATTTGTTAAAGCATTTTTACTTCTTATTTGTTTCAATTCTAGATTTCTCAATGAGAATAGACAAATTTTGGCTTCAAAAAAACGACTAATTTTCCCTTTGCCAAATTCCATGAGCTTTCAGTAGACCTTTAGCTTGGGCCATATTTGCTGATATACAATTTTGGTAATAAAGAGTGCCTGGAAGTTCAGCTAAGGCAAAGGCTGTTTAAGGTATCAACTTAACGTGTTAAGCGCTAAAGCTAAGGAAGGATAAACTGGCATTCATTTTTTCAGCTTAGCTTTAGGCTGCTGCCAGAGAATCATTATTAAGTTCATACGTCACACCTTCATTCAAATTTATGCTAGTCTCTTCTTTTACTGTGAAGGATATTCCATTTTTTCTCCAGGTGAAGGTTATTAGCACAAAGCAGAACTGGAATTCTGTAGATAAACACTGGCAGAAACCAAGTCTTAATCCTCCATTAGTTTATATCATGTTTAAATTACTGACTGATAGGATTCCTAGTCTAATGTTTTAGTTTTTATTGCATTTTGTGGCAATCAATTCATTCATGTCTTTACCGTACTTCTCTTAATTAATTATATATAGTCATCTGCTACGTCAGTGAAATATGCAATTCTCCACACCAATTGTTCTTCTATTTCAGCTTGTAGTTCATATATAGACTGGGCTTAGTTGCTGATTGTGACCAATCATTGATAGCGATGTAGGGATTGTTAACCTGTAGGCATAAACCTGTCTTGAAATGACCTGCCTCTGCACCTACAGAGCAGCGGCGAGTCGTCCACTGCTAGGGGAGCTGCAGCAGGCGCTGGTGGCAGCGGCGACGTCTTCAAGTCATCCAGCCCCAAGCTACTGCCCAATAGGCTTCATCAAAGTAAATCTGCTAAACATTCACCACTAGATAAATGACAATGATATTATATTAGTTATCATTCTGTTATCTTTTATTCTATCAAAAAGCATACTTTTTCTTTGCCCCTAGGGAAAGTAGGCTCCCCATAAATAGTGTAAACGTAAGCTTGCAAGCTTAGTTACCCTATGTACCATCAGCATGCTTTATAGTGATGCTCAGAGCTGACCCTTGCTTGAATACTCGTCTTTAAATAATCGTGCCATTGATACAATGGCTGTTAGGCTTGCGTTGTTGGCAAGGAAAGTGTGAACAATAAAGCATCCATGTTAATAATTATCATTACATTGATACAATGNACGCTCCTCCACTGCAGCGGCCCACGCCTTGCATTTTCCAGCGGGGAATCACTGCGTTCTTGCCAGTTTAGGCTACGTTTAATGTAAGGAAATATTGGCGTTTGGTTCCCAGTCAAGCAAAAAGCTCCTATTAATTAAATAAATGCAATTATCCTATGATATTAAAGTATTTCGTAAATTTATTGTTTGATATCCAATAAAAATGGTAACAAATAAAAAGCTCGTTGATTAAACGCGGTCTTCGCTTCAGAGCTCAAATGTCTTGTATAAACTGTAATCTCTATTCGAACACACATTCTCTACAACACGTATTGTTACTCCAATCTCTGAAATGGTTCAATTACGGGAGGTTCAATTAAAACGAGACTTGTGTACACATTGGCAAACTGACAGGAAGTTGTATTTAAGTGCATAGAGAGTAATTAGAGCCTTGGTCTACTTCGATCGTCATTGTTGAAATCACAGGCACCTACGTGTTAGAAATAACTTGGATTTGGCATGACGTTTGAAACAAAAACTGATCATAATTAAACAAACGAGATTCATTATGGATGTGAAATTGTCCCATGAAAAAATTAAAATCGTTCGATTTGGAATTGAAAATGCAATACTTTTTAAATTAACGTAACAGCGGAACGAACGCATCGTCACGACTCAAGCCGGTCTCTCGAAACTATGGTTAGCTACATTAGCCATCCTGGAGTGCTCTGGCCGTCGAAGTAAGAGGATTACTGCACAGTCTGCAGTAATCCTCTTGTTTGGCCTAGGAACGACGGTTTTGTAAGGACGAGTCCTAAGCTGAGCTGCCGTGAATAAAACTGAAGTAGTAATTTTTGCTTCTGTAATTAAATAAATGGTTAGAACTTAGAAGTGACTTAGAACACAGAACAGTGCCCAGTGGTTCCCAAAGTGGGCGATATCGCCCCCCTGGGGGGGCGGTGGAAAGATCTGAAGTGGTGGTGAGAAAGAAAGGGGCAGTAGGAGGAGATGGCAGTCAGCAAAGTTGAAGTCAGAAGTTCATACGTTTATTTCATGATTTGTACACATTACACAACACAGCCCACAGGCAGACCATGATTCCGAATTGAATAAATATTCACAAGCGTGAAGTCACTGTTTGGTAGTAGTTAGGAATTTACATTGAAAATATTGTTCACAATTTCAAATTGTTCAGTGGTTTGGAAGAAATTCTTTGATCACTGCAAATTTTGGTCCATATTGCCATAATGCCATATAACTCCGGGAGTTATATAACAGACTCCCGAATGAAGGTGAAATTAAAAAAAAAATTACAAGCTAAACATTGCCATTAGGTCCTAATGAATATGTGCTCCAGTGCTCGAAGTTTTATCAAGCTGCATTCATTAGTTTTTGATGTTCCTTGTTCACTGAATTCAAAGAAGGGCTGCAAGACCAGCTCAGCTGGTCTCACTCTCACTCAGTCACTCTCACAGCGGCACAGCCCTTCTCTGAATTTTGAATTTCTGTTCAATTGAATTGAATTGGTGATTTGGTATTTAAAATGCCTAGCAAATTACGGACCAGGCAATAAGTCCAGCAGCTATCTCAATCAATCGTCAGCTATGGAAAGATCGGGTTCCAAAGGCCGGATCCCTTGTGAATCAAGTCACGAAAAGTTCAAGAATCGGCAACAGGCCATGGGCCTATTTCTTCAGCGCCGACACTTCTATTCTATTCTATTGCCTCTTCAAATTGGTCATCTCGTAGGCAATGAGCATTATATTGTCAATTTTTCAACTTAATGGACTACATTATGGCACGGTGACTCCCGGGCCTCGTCTTAACCCCCCCTTAATTCGTCCCTTGGCTTTGGCGAAGAAATATATACTAAATTTTGCTTTGACTTAACTCTTGATTTATCTTCATTATTGCAGAATCTTGCTTGATGTTTTTTTTTTGTCTTAACCATTTCTATTTTCCTGGAATTCCTGTTAATCTTGCCTTGAGGCTTGATATTTGATTAAATTGATTTTCCTGATCCTTTTTCTGTTTTTCAATTGCATTATAATTTTAAATCTCTAAATATCACTCATTGAGGTCATTGTTGTCTGTGGATTTGCGGCAATTATTCTTTTTGGACTTTACACTGTGGTCACTGAATCTGTCTTACTAAGTAAGATAATCAATTGTTCATTTTGGAATTAATTAATCTTAGTTTTTAATTTAAAATTTGTTCTTTGACTTTGAGTTTCAGCCTGGCAGCCATGGCAATTTCCATTTACAAAGATGTTCATTCTTAATCCTTTGTTGTTTGTTCCTCACTCCTCAGGGCTTAGATCATCTCTCTTCTTCTAAAGACTTAAACTGTTGCTGTAGCCTGTACATCATGGCAACCCCTAATCATCGCATACTTAAGTTTGCCTTCAAAAATGTTACTAGAATAGAATCTGTCACGTATTCGCTAGTAAAACGATTTTAATGACACGGTCAGACGGGAGTCAAATGTCTTTTTTTTTTGTGGCAACATTTTGCGGGGCGGGAGGCTGCAGGCCATATGAGCTGCAGCCACCAGTACAGCATAGGGCGTCGCCAATTAACGTTTATGTTTCATTTTCTCTACTCATTGTATTGCCTTAGGGTTTTAATCACTGCTGTAAGTATTTTATCTTTGCGGACGCAGTATTACTCTGGTGTATATTTGGATTAGTTGTGAATACCTGTTTTTACGCGACTGGACTAAATGCCATGAATATTCGTTAATCTTGTAAAGAATACTCTCGATCGATTCAGTCGAGACTGTTATTGCGACTTTTAATTTAATTCATTTAGCCTGTGTCAATCTTTTTTTACTGTGTTCAACCTATCACGATGCCCCCATGCAGTAAAACATTTCCTGTTTCGCTACTTTCAGCTTACAAGAACAATAAAGAAGAAAACCCCTGTTCGTTTTGTTAACTGCCTCGGCAACACAGTCCTATACGTGAAACGCCTTGGACAGAATCAGTAGATCGTGTTTCATTCAATGCTAAATGTAACTTTTGTGAATTTGCTGGGGTAAATGTCAAATTTGATGAAAAAAGTTATTCTAATCTAGTTTGCCACCTTAAACGTAAACATTTGAAAGAGTATAGAATGTATCTTGACCAAATTAAAACTAATCCTTTGGATAGTAGGGGGGGAAAGCATGATGAAATCCTTTTTCAAACCTCTGCAGACAAGTGACACATCACAATTAATTTCATCTCACCACACAACAGAACACATCCCGTCAGTTCCATGCAACACTAACATTTCTGAGATTTCAGTTCAGCAAAACTGCCAGAACCACTCCCACTAAACATCAACACAAATGAAGACAATGCAAATCCACCTGCATCTGCATCAGCTTCAAACCTTCTAGTTCCAGAACAGCCCACTGAGCTGAGCCTAGTCATTTGTCAACTGAAATGAAACGGGAAAATCCAACCAGTTTTCATGTACAAAGCGCCATGCTCAGCATGTATTTGTCTTGGAGGTGCAGAGCAATTTTACAAAAATTCACTGAAGGTTGCACTTGCTGGATGCACACATAAAAACAAGGATTGCTGCTGCAGAAGAAAGTTTGAGGAACTCCTCGCAAGAGTAGAGGACGAAAAACCTGCAGTTTCTGAGGAAAATTCCGAAACCTTTGACGGTTCCACTTTTTTTGTGTCAATATAACTCGGATAAAGATAAAATAGTACATTTTTGCAAAGTCTGCCTTAGGCATGGACGCCCTAGCAAAGGGAAGCGGAAAATTGGAGAATCCTGGATTGACGGAATCACCTTTGATAGCACCAGGAACAAAAACAAAGCTATGAAGGCTCACCTGCAGAGTCAACAACACAAGGAATCTTTGGAATTTTGCAAAGCTGAAGATGAAACTCAAATAAAATTAGGACTCCCAACAAAAGCAGAAAGGGAAAAAGCAACCAAAAACACCATGATTGCAAGTATATTCATGACATCTAATTCATTACCATTTAGATTGTATACTTCATTGTGTGCTCTCCTGTCCCTTATCACCCCATCACACTTAAGCAATCCATTGGGCAATGTACATCAAACGCATTCAGGCATTCGCAATGTGCTTGTGGCTAATTATAAAGCCTGTGCTGTTACCATGAAGCAATATTTTAACAGCACTTTTGCAGCAACAAAAAGCAGAAGGAAATTCACCATTTCCTGTGATAAAGGGACTGCTCCAAAGGATGCCTCACGACAAGCAATTGTTGCAACTTGTGAGTGACTGTGTTATGCCTAAAGAAATGGTTTTAGGGGTTCCAATTATCCGGCATGGAGACACTACAGCAACTACTAACCATGTGAAGGAAAATGTTGCTTTATTCCTTGACCCCTCATCAGTTGCCTTTGTATGCACAGATGGTGCAGCTGTATACACTGGTAAAAAAACTGGCATGATAGACAGATAGAGATGCTAAAGACATCACAAGAATACCAAAAGTTGAATGGACTACCTGATTTCTGCCACAAAATGGAAAATTTATTGCAGAAGTCAATACCCAAATGGGTTTCAGATGTATTATCCATTTGCAGGATTGTTGCAGCTTTCATCAGTGACCACAACATTGTGAAAAATGTAATTCACAGGTATATCAACATCGATCGTGGATCAAGATACACTATAATCCCTAACCAGAGCCAAACGAGATTTGCCGAATACTTGCATATCCATTTGGACGCAATCCTGAAGAACTTAC